CAAAGTCAAAGTCTTTGGCTCTATGCACCAAAGTCAAAGTCTTTGGCTCTATGCACCAAAGACAAATCCCTTGTGTGTCCAATCACACTTGGCCAATAAAGTATTCTATTCTATTCTATTCAAAAGAAATATATGACATATGCTATAAATCTAAGCAAGAAATAAATCAGATGCCCGACTTGGATCCGCGTTTAGGACGAAGCTAGCCCTCCTTTAAACTTCTTTTAGACCACCAGGGGGCGCCATTGCCCTTAGTAGTCGTCGTTCCCTTTCGGCCAATCCGGAGTCACTCCGCTGAGTTTTAGAGATTCCGAATCGCTGTCCGACTTCCCGAAGGTTAATCTCGATTTTTTTTCGGACGAGAGACGCAGCCGAGCGAAGGAATCCGTCCTCCTCCGAGTTGCGAGGGGCGCAAGATCCTCCTCTGGATTTTGGCGGACTTCAAAAAGTTTTCCCACGGCGGAGGCGGCGCCGCATCAGCCGCGGAGGAAGGCAAAGGGGAGGAGAGAAGACGATCGGACGGTCCGGAAAAGGGGAGGAGAAGATCGGACGGTCCGGAGCAAAGCCAGAGGCTGCTTATCGGACCTGCCCGTCTCCCGGGGACCGCTTCCTCGCGTTAGTCGCGGGTGCTTGGCCAAACATCCAGGATGGCGAAGCTGGGGATGGCCAGGCGCAGCAACAGCCTCACCTTACCCGAAATCAGGTACCCGCCGCGTCCCGGTTCTGCGCCTTAGAGGCGAGCCAGCGCTCGCTCCGTCCCGTTTCCAGTCTTCCCCGGAGACCGCGTGGCTGCCCTGGCTAAGGATCAATCCCCAAAGTTATGCTAACCCAACCCTGAGACATTAAGCCAATTTCCTGACCTCCTCCTGCCCCCAGCAAACTAACCAGGTTTCTTTTGCACCCCTGTGGTTTCAATCTACTTAGGATCTCTTGTGGTGTTTTTTTGTGACCCTTTGGCTATAGACGCCCTCCTCCAATTTAAACTCCCCCACCCCAATTAAAGAAAGGCGGTTTCTACTTCCAGATGAACCCCTGGGGTCCGATCCACTCATCCTGGCAAATTTATTCCATTCGTACGTTTTTTGGCATTCAGACATAGAGTCCTAAAAGGGGGAAAAAATCCCGTTTGTTTCATCCCACAAGGAGACGCTGCTTGTTATAAATGGTCTCATAATTACAATATTTCTTTTAAAAAAAAACAGTTTAAGAGTATTGCATTTTCCCCCCAGCATGTTTTTTTGGGGGGAGGGGGGAGGACATTTTGAGGTTGCAAATTAGCTTCTTCTTACTTTGCTAAGTGATGGTTTCATTTTCTGTTCTGTATATTTTTTAATCTGATTTTCAGGAGTAAGTCTGATCTAGCTCCTTCTAGTGGAGATTGAAGCCTCTGTCTCTTGAAAATTGTGTACCGTAATTGCTGCCTTCTGGATTTATAAATAAAATGTATATGCCACCTGACTCTCAGCGACTGTGGTTGGTTTATAAATGACATAAAATATNTTCTGAGCTATAATTGCTGTTTTATAACAGTTGGAAGGAAATCCTGAGCTCCAACAGTCCAGAGATCAAGGCAAAATTATTGTGTCGGTTGTGCTGTGGGTTGAGTGGTCAAGTGCTCTTTGATGAAGTTGCATGGCTATCCATAGTTTGTTGGATGTTGTTGTATAGCTCAGGAGTCTCCAACCTGGACAACTTTAAGACTTGTGGACAGACTCCCATGGGGACAGGCAGTGGCAACTCTGTAGGCTTTCTTGAGTCCAAGTTTGGTTGAGTGTTGCTTCTTCCAAGGTGCCCTGTGGGGAGATGGGTAAAGGGCTAATGCTATCATGCCTTAATCCCATCACCCTGGAGCTGAAGGGGAGGGGTCTTTGTTATGTAGAATAGACTGCCCCAGGCTTTTTAATGGCCCATTAAGGAAAGTGGGGGCTATTAAGAGTGAGTCTGTTTCCTGCCTAAAAACATGATTCTCCATTTCTGATCAAGGGAAATATAATATCCTGCCTTCTTAGTATTTCCCAGTATATTTCATTTTTCTAGGAGAGGGGGTGGTGGTGGTAACTTCCTACAGGGCTATATTAACATACAGCAAGCTCAGCTCTTTACTCTGTTACTTGCTGTAGTCCAGTGTTTATCGGCCTTGGCAACTTTAAAATATGCGGACTTCAATCCCCAGAATTCCTCAGCCAGCGAGCCATCCTTAAGTTGGGAAGGTTGAGAAACATTGTTCTAGGCCAGAGTTTCTCACCTGTGGCAATTTTAAAATGACACACAGCTGGTTGTGGAATTGTGGAAATTCTGAGAGTTGAAGTCCATAAAGTCTTAAAGTTGCCAAGATTGAGAAACACTGTTCCAGACAACCATAAAATGTGGTCAGGATTCTTCGAACCTCCCAAGGTGCTCTCAGGGGTCCATGAAATCAAATGTATTTGCCAGCCTATGTTGAAAAATAATAAACAATATTAAAATCCCATCAAAGAATTGTAAGATGTGGTAGCAGCAAATGTGTTCATTTGAATTATTCTGTAAATATTGATAAATATAAAAGTGGGAAAGAGTTGTAAAAGAAAAAACATTAAGAAGCACTAGTTGTATTGACACCTATAAAGATACTTTTCCTTGGCAGTTGTATATATATTTATTTTTCTACTATGCTATAATTATTTTAAAATATTTGAATAATATTACCCTGCCCAGTCCCTTGCCTAAGATGGCTGGCTATAGAAATTAAATAAAATGAATAAATAATAAATATAAAAATTAGAATCCTTCATCTTTTCATTTTCATTTTAGAGCCGAGGTGGCGCAGTGGTTAGAGTGCAGTACTGCAGCCACTTCAGCTGACTGCTAAGCTGCAGTTCAGTGGTTCAAATCTCACTGGCTCAAGGTTAACTCGGTTCCACCACAAATCCGCGAAGCCCTTATCCGCGGAGACATAAGCGCGAAGACTAATTCGCGCCTTTCTAAGCGCTAAGAAAAAACGCGACCCTACCGC